TACATTTGTAGTGACTTTCGATTGGTAGCATCGATATTACTAACTTAACAATGATCATACTTCGAAATGCCTCCATTTGAAGGCATATAAGAACCAAAGAATGCAAAAAATGTAATGTGTTTTCGTAGAAAATACTCATATATGTTAGCGTAATGAAAATATTCCCATAGAGCGCGAGTATAAATATTTTCACAGGAATATAGATGACTTTTATATCATTTAAAAAATATATCGATGACTGTTTGGACTACCTGATCAATTTATGTGCAACACATGATAATTTATACACACTGTTTTCGACGAATTCGATGTTGGCCAAAAAACAGGTGAATATCAGAGATGTAATATGACAAATTATTCACCACCAAGAGCTATAAAGGTAAAATCTATTTCAGAAAAGTGTAGAGTAGATTCTAAGGCACTGGAGAGTGACCAATAAATACTTAAGGCAGTATCATTGGCATCGATCTCATTACAAAAATACGAGGTGTGATCAAAAGTAAGGCGACTTGTATGTTTTATCAAAAAGTATTTATTAATTTATCAAAATTTGTGTCCCCATTCAAAGTAATCTCCCCAGAGATAATACACTTGTGCCAACGTTTTTTTCAATACTTGAAGCACTTTCTGGTATAGCCTTGAGTTCTTGTAGCGATTTTATCTCCTTAATCGTTCCAAATCTCCTTCCTTTCATGGGTTTCTTGAGTTTTGGGAACAGGAAAAAGTGACAGGGGGCCATGTCCGGTGAATATTGCGGCTGAGGCATGATTGTGGTTTTGTTTTTGGCCAAAAAGTTAGACACAAGTAACGATGAGTAAGCAGGCATTGTTTTCCCACAATTCTTGCAATTTGCTTATTGAAAACGGCGCTTCACTTCAAGATAATACTCTTTATTTACCGTACAGCCTTGTAGTAAAAACTCTTGATGTACTAAGCCACGATTATCAAAGAAGACTACTAAGCAAAACCTTGACATTTTGGTCTTGGCGATCTACTAATAAACTTTGCAAAATTGGAGCGAAAGTTAATTATTGGCTTAATGGCTCTCGGTAGTACCTAGGGTGGTCCATATTTTGCCCCACCTGCCTGCACATTCCGACAGATAAGCAAAGTTCCAAAAAAATATGAAAAGACACACAACTACAACCCCCAAACTTTTTGAAGCTTATTTATTTAACCTTCTTGTACGAGTAGCTATTTATATCGAATAGTTCGCCCAGCGATTGAAGAATATCCCGCAGCGTCGCGCATAGAACCCCCGTGTGGCAAATTCCGTTTAAACGCCAGATAAACGTAGCCTCTGAGCAGTAAATTCAAATAAATAATAACAGGGACACAAGAACATCGGGTTGCAATTGGTATGCGGCGCATAATTCAGCAATGCGGCGAATATTTTTCCACCAATCTACGCACGTATTTAACGACATGCCGGCAGCAGCCACATAGCTGAATTCGCTGCCTATGCATTGGAAGGAGGTTTTGATTGAGATAACGTTTTCGCCAATACGTACTGGGACAGTACGTATTGGCGACAGAGTCAATTGTCGAACTCAATAGCGAGGAAATCGCTAAAATTTTCCTGCTTTAATGCTGTTAAGTAACTCGTATTCAATATATTTTCGTTCGGTAAATGTCGTAGAGCCGAACTTTTCCGAACGCAATAGCGACGAGATGGTAGAAAAGTGTCGAATGTTCAAAGTATAGAAAAGTTCGTGTAAGATCGGGATCGGCCAAGCTGGAGTGGACCCGCCAACAGCTGAGACGTGCCTGATAGAGAAAATTATACGTGATCGAGTAATAAATAAATAAACAGAATGTTTAGGTTAGATCTAGCGATTTTTATAGGGATATCAAATTTAATACTTATGTTAAATCATTTATTTTATTAAGTTAACATTTCATTACTTTTTTAAACAGGAATTCAGTTAATTGTGGGTAGTAAATTCATGGGGTAGGTAGGTTCAAGTGCAGAATAGCAACAAAACCCCTCAACACATAGTTTTTCACAATGGCTTTATGTCTTATAAATTGGTCTAATATTTTAAGTAGCTCACAAAAAAGACCTTTTTCGTGTTTAATGCGTTTATAAATATATGTATATTCAAGTTATTGCAAAAATATATTTCAGGTGTTCAGAAACAAAATATCAAGCATCAGGAAAGGTTGAAGAGAATGGTGTATTGATTTTAACGAAGGGACAACACAATCATGAACACTTGAAGGACCAAATATAAGACAGGAGTTGCAAGCATGACTATGAGAGAAAGGAGACCGAAAGAACATATGCCATCGATTTGCGACAAGGTTAAGAAATTATTAGTATTAAAAATATTTGCGTAAATTACGCTGTACAACTGAAACTATATAAATATTAATAAACTTCAATTGTGTTAACGTAATTTTAAAAATGCCGAAGGTGCCTTACTAGTGTCCTTCAACTGACTATGTACCTCTATGAAGGGGTGGCGGCAGTCGAATATACCTGTAGTACTGGAAGACTTGACTAGAGTTCTGGCAGCAAGCGAATGACCTAGATATTAGTTTGGTTGTTTGGTTATACAGTGGGACACAAAAGCTTGACATGAGTCATTTTTCTCGCCAGCCCCTGTATGAAAATACTTGTTTATATTATAAAGCAGTACCAAAGAGAATGGAAGACACTATTTTATCTTGATTAATGAAGTTTATGTAGTAACAAAAATATGACGAGGAAGGCCTGTCAACGGGGGAAAGAATATTCCTAATATTGTCAGCACCATTGGTTCTCCAACATATTCTCTAGCAAAATATCTATCTTCCTTATTAAATCCCTTACAGCGAAAACGGGCAGTTTCGTACTTAATTTCTTTCACTTCATTGAACAATTAAAAAACATTACATTAGATACACAAGATATTCTAGTTAGTTTCGACGTAGAATCCCTATTTACCAAAGTTCCTATTCCTGAAACCCTCGACATCATTTCAGATATATTAAAATCCGAGAATCTGGAACCAAACCTTCTCGCCTTAATTGACAAATGCTTATCGGGAACATATTTTTCTTATAGCGGTCAAATTTTTAAACAAACGTCGGGAACAGCTATGGGTTCTCCACTATCACCAGTCATCGCGAATATATTTATGGAAGCCTTTGAGAAGAAAGCTCTCAACACCTTTCATCTAAAACCAAAATTTGTTTTTTGGCCTCATGATCAAGAAACCCTAGTAGATTTTCTTCGATATTTGAACTCTATACACCCTAACATACGTTTTACTATTGAGTTGGAAACTAATAATAACCTTCTATTCTTAGGTATTCTTAACAATAGAAAATCAGACCTAACATTGGGTTATTGTGGTTACAGAAAATCTACGCACACAGACCGATAACTTAATGCATGGTCACGTCACCATGCGGACCAAAAATCGTCTGTTATCAACTCTCTTGTTTACAGGGCCGTAAAACTATCTCAGCCCGAGTCACTGAAAATAGAATTAAAACACCTTACCGAAAGCAATCCTCCACTTGGTACTGTGGTTCTTCGTTACATTCAAAACATCACTGACCACATATCAAAAGTTCTAAAGAAGTATAACGTCAAAACCAGATTTACCACTTCTCCAAAAATCTCTCAACATCTTCGGTCCGTCAAAGTCCGGACGAAAAATATCAACTAGGCTCAAAGAACACGAAAGTGCATTACGACTAAGACAAATAAACTCATCAGCTGTGGCCGAACACACTCATGAAACTGGACATAAAATTTTATTCGTTAAAACTAAAATTCTTGCATGTAATCAGTTCTTCTACGAACGAAAAATCCGAGAGTCTATAGAAATCTATAAACAACCTAACAATCTTAACCGCGACTCAGGTCTCTACATGTCACCAATTTGGGAATCAGTCAACCGAGACGATGTTTATGCCCCTCATTCAGCTCCGCCCCCCTCAAACAATATATAAGCAGGTACAAAGTAAAATACGAGCTCTGAAGAAGCCAACAGGATGATTGGCGAAACGTCAGCAATTTCGACTCAGCAAAAACCGACGCAGGAGGAATCCAGAAGTTTTGTAAAAAGTATTACAGTAGCCTGGGGAAGTTTCTTTGAAAAATTAATAATTGTCCATATTGGAAGCGAAGATAAGATTATTACAACGAATTCAAATGTTTTTAAAGACTATTTCACATTACATTTATGTCCGTTTTTTATACTTTTACTCCAAGCGCATATTGTGAGAATCTAAAAAATGTTAAATATTATTGTTGAATGAGAGATTGTCTCTCCTTAATTCAGAATATGCCGGGAAAATGAAAAAAAGAAAATAGACCAATACCTATGTTAATGTCCATTATTTTAAATTTTTCCTTACGAATTCGGCTTAGAAACAGGGAATAAACTCGCCGTCTAGTAATTTTTCTGAAGAGGAGCATACCACTGAGATGCAAATTATTTTTCTAAACTGGTACACTGGTACACTCACAGTTGTCAGGCAAGATTTGACAAAGATTTCACAGCTTCCTAAATGATTTTAAGGATTTTATCGATTTTAAAAAAATATTTGTAGTTTATGTCGAAAATTTTTGTGTTCCGTCGTAACTAAAAAACCATCAAAGTAAAAATATTTATTTTATGAGTAAATTTTATAAATTCCATAGGAAAATTATATTTTTGAATTTGTTTCCAAAGTTTTGCTTCTTAATTTTTTCTGCTTAACTTTAATTAAGTATTTTCTTACAGAAAATGGTATGTTTAAAACATATTGTTAGGAATTTCATAATTATTAATTTTGGTTGATGAAAAAGTCAAATGAAAACCAACTATTTGGATGACCACATCTTATACCTTGTATCTTATAACTTTAAAAAAGCCAAATGAGTTTGTTGAATTTCAATCGGAATTAAATTAAATAGTTTTTCACTACTGAATCATTTTTTAGTCAATGCTCCAAGGACATGAGAGAGATGATTCGTCTAAATAGACCACAGTAATTAGCAGCTGCATATATTTTTTACTTACCAATCCATTGCAGGTTGACAACGCAACCCTGCTTTGAGGGTGTCCGTGGACCATGCCCTGAAAATGGCAGTTCCGACTTCGGTGCCCGGGTTTTCTCCTTAAGTGCATATATTTTTTCCTCCATTCGATAATAATGTTGGGAGCTAGAAAATCATGCGTGGCTTTGAGGATCAAGTGATGGTCTTGTTCGAGTATTGTGACGTTGAATCTGATTGATTCGTCGGGGTGGGAGTGAAATGTTGTGACGTTGTATGACAGGTGGCCGCCATTGTGGTCTACTCTCATGGGAACTGTTTCGTGTGCTTCTGTGAGTGCGGTAGTATAAAGACCTGAAGCAAAAATAAATAATTGTGAGGTTCGTGCATTATTTGTGTAAACTCAATTTATTATAAATGGAACAAGTTTAATTAATTTATTTATTAATTTTATCTGTTGGATCAATGCGAATATGTATTTGTATAAAATCCATTATACAGGGCGTTTTATAAAACGAAAGACAATAGACAATAGCAGATTTTTTTGAATGGAACACTGTATCATTGTATCTTAAGTTCAAAGCGACAACTCGGAAACAATAGCAAATAGAAGGGGTTTTTTAAAGTCTATCTGTTATTTTTAAATAGGAAATTTTGATTTATCTTTTCAAAAATCAGTGAATAAAGAAATGTATATAAATATAAGACAAAAAATTGAGAATTAGTTTAAAGTTCATTAATTCATTTTTGAGGTATTTGAAAGTGTCACAAAATAGCGGCAATTAAGGGAGATATAATACTGTATATCCAAATGATGAGTTAAGTTGGGAACCAATAATCGAGAAAAATTTACTTTTTGAAATTCATTAAAAAGATATCGATAACTTATCGATATGTTGTTTCCATAACTTACTAGCCAACTAAAATTATTTGGATGCGAATTTATGGTCAACTTGGGTTTTGAAGACAAAAATGCAATTTGGCAAGGAATATCTGTCATAATCCTTTTAGACAAGAATTTTACATAGATTTATAGCGACGACAGAAATAGGAGGTTTCTATTAAAAATTGTAAGGGTAAGATCACTTCCGGTTAAAAGTACATACGAGGTGTGCTCAAAAAGTAAGGTGACTTTTACGTTTTATCAAAAACTATTTATTTATTCTTCAAAATTAAAGTACATACGAGGTGTGCTCAAAAAGTAAGGCGACTTTTTCGTTTTATCAAAAACTGTTTATTTATTCTTCAAAATTAAAGTAAACCTTCAAAGTAATCCCCCTCCAACTTTTTTCCAATACTCGAAGCACTTCTGATAAGCAGTTCCTGGTATAGTTTGGAGTTGTTCCAGCGATTTTTTTTTTATTTCCTCAATCGTTCTAAACCTCCTTATTTCATGTGTTTCTTGAGTATTGGGAACAGGAAAAAGTCACAGGGTGTCATATCCGGTGAATATGGTGCCTGAGGCATGATCGTGATTTCATTTTTAGCCAAAAAGTTAGACACAAGCATCCATGCGTGAACAAATTCATTATGGTGAGGCAAAATCCATGAATGGTTTTCCCAAAATTCCGGACGATTTCTTCGTATTACTTCTCACAAACGGCGAATAAGTTCAAGGTACATACTCTGTGACAGTACGACCTTGTGGTAAGAACTATTGATGTACTATGCACGATAAGCAAAGAGAAAAGTAAGAAAACCTTGACATTTGATCGAACTTGACGTGCTTTTTTCGGTTTTGCTGATTCTGGGTTCTTCCAGTGGGACAACTGGGGTTTGCTTTCGACGTGATAACCATTTACTCCTCATTTGTCACCAGTTGTGTCCTTTTTGAGAATATCTGGATCATCATTGAAGCCGTTTAGCAGCTCTTGAGCGATGCTTCTTCAACGGTTCTTTTGTTCAAACTTCAGAAGTTTCGGAACAAATTTTACTGATACACGTTTTACAGCCAAAACTTCGGAAAAGGCTGCTTGGCACGAGCCGAATAGAGCTGTCGAAGCCTTCAGTCACTTCTCTAATAGTGATTCGACGATTTTTCAACACCATTTGTTTCACTTCTTCAACGCTTTCATCAGTTATTGCAGCACTGTATTCCTTTTTGTACACAAAATGTTATGCAAATTCTTTGATCCGTTCTTTTACAGCAGAAATCGCCGAGCATACAAAACAAATCTAATGCTGCTGTCTCACAACAAAAAATAAACGCGCAAACTAGTTGAAATTGTGAACAGATGTTAGGGATATGTGTACCAACATATCAAAAAAAAATATATCGAAGATACCCAATTGCAAGTCATCTTACTTTTTGAATGCACCTCGTATGTCAAAGAATAAGGTTTTATGAACAAAGATAAAGTCAGTAAGTTTAAAACTCTAGTGGGGAGGTAATAATTTTGTTTGACGAAGAAGGAAAAAATTTAACATTTATAGGTAAAAACGCTAAATTAATGACGCCATTACTTAATAAAAACAGAAACTTGCTTGGGTGAATTAGAAGAACGAATTATTTTGTGTTCAGATATGTTTAAAATTTAATTTAGGGCTGATTAATTTGATACTATAGGTATGTAGTATGTGTTTTCACTTATTATTTTGTCAAGGTAAAAACATGTAAATTGAATATGTTTATTTTGCTAAAATTCTTGAATAAATACATAGGTATAACTGTAAATTCTTTTTTATTAGTTACTACTGTTAATATTTGTTTTATTTGTTTTTTATTTGATAGCATGTGCAAGGATGGATTTTAACTATGTATTTTCTATTCAGTATCCTACTCAAAAAGTTTGGTTGATATATAAAAACGCTTTATTATAAAAATGATTCCAAATTGAACACAGAATAATAAAAATTTTAGGTGGTCTCCATTGGAAGTATTTTTGGAAAAGTACTACAAACTCAAATTTTCAGTGTACTTCCGTTAAAAGCGAAAGTATGATTTTTTCTCCACTTTTATCAAATGCTTTCTTTAAAAAACAATTATTCTGTCAACTTTTTGGCAAAAATATTAAAACATATTTCTAAAATTTTTGAAGCCTATTCTCTCCAAAACTAATGGGTGTTTTTTTTCGATGTATAGAACTTTAAGTTGGCATTACTGTTCAAGATGGTGACCGATTTAACAACTGTCAAGTGATTTATTCACAGTTTGGTTTGGCAATTCATCACGAATAGACTCACGCCTGAACAACGCTTGCAAATAGTGCAATTTTATTTCGAAGAGCAGTTGATTCGGTTAACCATGAGACGTTTTCGCACCACGTTTCCTCTTATTGATAATTCGCATCCCCAGAGACATCATACGGTGCGTACAGAAGAAGCTATTGCTGGTGTAGAGCGTAGCATTGAGGAAGACCCGAATGAGTCCATCCGCCATCGAGCACAGGAATTGGATCTGTGTCCATCCACTTTATGGAAGATTTTGCGGAAGGATCTTGGTTTACGTGCTTACAAAATCCAATTCGTGCAAGAATGGAAGCCAAACGATCATCAAGTAAAGCGTAGATTCGTCGAATGGGCCCAAAACGAGATTGCCGTTGTTCCCGATTTTCATAAGCGAATTTTGTTTAGCGAAACTGCCGCATTTGGAGCGAAGCTAATCCTCAAGTGTATGTCGAAACACCGTTACATCCAGAAAAACTGACTGTTTGAATTGGCTTCCAAAATCTTGTAATTTAACACCGCTAGACTACTTTCTGTAGGGCTATGTAAAGTCATTGGTCTATGCGGATAAGCCACAAAAAAACCATTTGGAAGACAACATTCGCCGTGTTATTGCCGATATACGGCCACAAATGTTGGAAAAAGTCATCGAAAATTGGACGTCCAAATTGGACTACATCCGCGCTAGCAGTGGCGATCATATACCAGAAATTATATTTAAAATGTAATGCCACAAGATTATCTTTCGGATAAATAAAATTCATGTCAATCGAATAATCCATCGTTGTTTTATGGCAACTTAAAGTTCTTTAAAAAAAACACCCCTTATTAGAGCTATCGGAAAAAGATAAAAAACATTTCCCACTTGGATTTATCAGTAGCATACAAAACTGGGAAAATATAAGGGGTCGGATGAGTCAGATCTTAGTAGGAGTCGGGGGCCCAAGGGCGATATGACTGTACAGGGTTATTGCTGGGTTCCCTAGGACAAGTCACGCTGACACGGTTTGAAAATATGTAGCTAATTGTATGGAGTTGACAATACCCTAGTAATACTTAGTGAAAATATAATCACAACCCGTTCATTTAAGGATAAATAATTGAATTGATTTCACAAAATAGCCTCTAGCAATTGATATACTCTCAAAAAAATTGAGATACAATAAACAACATTTTTTTATTACACTTATCCTTGACTATAGGACGGCTTCATGAATCATGAAGTTTTTTGTGCTAACTCCAATACTTCAGACTTAACCAATCATCCATTTACTTCTTTCAGATTTATTTGAGTGGGCGAAGTCGGAGAGTGTCTTTTGGAGATAAATTTTAACCTTTTTCCAAAATTGCAGGGAAAGTTTCCCCAAGGCCATAATCTCTTCTTGTGTATACCGCTTATTTTAATGATTACTTTAAACAGTCGCATCAACATGCCCACGATATGCAGCTATAGAAACGCGAATGCGGTTAAAAATAATAACTTTGACATTACATTGAATAATAACAATAAAATATAATAATAATAAAATATAGACTTTTTCTGAATTTGTCAATATCAATCTTCGCTTCCAATCTAAGGCATCTTATTTACCTTAGAAGAGCTGGGGAAAAATAAAGATCAATGGAGCCAACAGAGGTTACAATGGTCCGGTTCACTTAATTTAGCTGAAAGATGTTTTTCCATTTATGCACATTAGTTTTTTTAAATTTCGCAAAGCGGACATATTACATGGCATAACTCTCTGTTCTCGTTCGGCTATATTGAGACAAAGACCTTCAATTCAATTCTTGATGACGCCAAGGGCTGCTCGATAGTTTTACCCTTTGGAAAGCGTCTTAAAGCAATATTGTTGTTTAACATGCCACAACAATAGTTTCCTTTTCATCAAAGCTCGACCCTCTCTGCTGTATTGTGTTACGCTTCTATTTCATTGCGGCAACATATTTGAAACCCGTTTAAAGCTATTTTGGTGAGTTTAAAACTAGTGTTACATTCTATTGTAGAGGATGTGTGTTTCTCAAAACATTTTGATTTGTGGTGGTTAGAAGAGTAGCTGTGCTAGATCTCGCCACCCTCCTATGTTTACACTTTGACTCAATTTTGTATTGTTCTACAATATAAATCTTCTTCTTAGAATGCTTCTTTATTACTAGACGTTGGCTATCACATGGAAACATTCTTCTCTGTT